TGCATATATATACACACTAAATTTCTTTACAATTCACACCTGAAAGTGGCTATGGCTTTTAAGGAGGTGGAGCACAAGGGAGCCTTTGGTGATGATGTAGTTCCGTGTCTTGATGCAGTGCTAGTTACATGAAGCCACACATGACAAAACTGCACACACACACTCTCTCTGCAGGTATATAACCCGTGAAATGGGGACTGTGTCAATGTCAATTTCCTCATTTTCATACAGTACTACAGTTATACAAGACTTTAACATTCGGAGAGGCCAATGAAGGGAACACGGGACCTCTCTGTACATTTCCTGGTAACTTTTTGTGAATCTGTATTTCAAAACAAAAAACTAAAAGCAGAAGTCTAATACATTTGTGAAATCGGTTAGTTCTGCCTTACCATACTGAGCTCTATTTTATTAATAAAACAATAATTATACATTAGAAAAAGTCATTTCTTCTAGAAGCCAAGGGCAAGGGGGGAAGTAAAGAAGAAAATCATATTTTTCTTAAATACCGCTGCTCTAGAAACATGGTAGATGTTTTAAATTTATCTTATTTAACCTATGAAACAATCCTGTAAGGTATTATTAAGTATTTGTATCATTTTATAAGTGGAGAACCTAAATTTTTAGAATGCTAAATTTATCCAAGGTTGCATGCTTATAAGCTGAGTACATCATGTGAAATGCCTGGCTGGATGAATCACAAGCTGGAATCAAGACTGTTGGAAGACATATCAACAACCTCAGACATGCAGATGATACTACCTTCATGGCAGAAAGAGAAGAGGAACTAAAGAGACTCTTGAAGAAGGTGAAAGAGGAGAGTGGAAAAGTTGGTTTAAAACTCAATATTCAAAAAACTAAGATCGTGGCATTGGGTCCCATCACTTTATGGCAAATAGATGGGGAAAAAAATGAAAACAGTGATGGACTTTCTTTTCCTGGGCTCCAAAAACATTGCAGACAGTGACTACAGCCAAGAAATTAAAAGATACTTGCTCCTTGGAAGAAAAGCTATGACAACCCTAGACAGTGTATTAAAAAGCAAAGACACTGCTTTGCCGACAAAGGTCCATACAGAAAAACCAAAGCTATGGTTTTTCTAGTAGTTATGTATGGATGTGAGAGTTGGACCATAAAGAAGGCTGAGTGCCAAAGAATTTGATGCTTCCAACTGTGGTGTTGTATAAGACTCTTGAGAGTCTCTTGGACAGCAAGGAGATCAAACCAGTCAATCTTAATCAGTCCTGAATATTCACTGGAAGAACTGATGCTGATGCAGAAGTGCCAATACTCTGGCCATCTCATGTGAAGAGCCAATTCGTTGGAAAAGACCTGATGCTGGGAATGACTGAAGGCAGGAGGAGAAGGGGACGACAGAAGATGAGATGGTTGGATGGCACCACCGATTCAACGGACGTGAGTTTGAGCAAGCTTCGGGAGATAGTGAAGGACAGGGAAGCCTGGCATGATGCAGTCCACAGGGTTACAAAGGGTTGGACATGACTGAATGACTGAATGACAACCCATAGTTAAAGTGTTCAATGACAGAGTTAGGATTGGAACACAGTCTGGTTAGAAACCAAATCTAATCTTTCCAATCATGACTGCCTCCCACTTTAGCTTAAAATAAATATCAGTATTTACCAACTAAACTTAGCCAATGGATCTTCTTAAGACTCAAAAGAACAGGTAGGGGTGAGGGAAAATGCCCTCCCCTCCAAAGTCCTCATGTACAATACTGTCTTTGGTGAAAAGAAATCATTTATCTGCAGTTCCAGGCCCCCAATCCCTCATCTGAAACTCTTAGGGCCAAGTGTGTTCCAGAATTCATAACTTTGGAATGCAGAAAGGTAGTATGGCACATATATTATCTATTACACTAATATCAAGTCAGACTGGGGGCTAGACACTGTAGTTAATCACAGTATCAGTTCTGGAGTGAAACAGAAGGATGCTCATACTAAGCAGAAAAAATTATAAATACCTTCAAGTTAGTCCTAGTCATTTTGCCATCAAGTGAGTTTACCAAAACCTTTTGGTTTTAAGGATTTTAGGATTTTGGAATCACAGGTAATGGATTAAAAACATGTATTATGTTACACACACAATATGCACATTCCACTCCATCACCACTCCAACAATGAAAACTGATTTTTAAAGTTCTTGATTACAGAAAAAAGAATCCTATTTTTACACCAATACCTTAAAGAAGACTACCCCTTGAAAAAAATACCTGAATTCATATTCCTACTGAGGGATGCCAGATCATACAAAAGACCCGGGTAAAGTGGTTTCTACCAACAGAGTAGGTTCCAGAAGCCTTTCTAAACCAGCCAATGGAATGAGGGCAGTTGGATTGTTTTGTCATGTGTCAAAGAATATGCAAACACAATCACTAAGTTGACTGGGGGAATATTATTTGAAGTTTATCAAAGGTATAAAAGATGAACAACCCAACAATGAGACACTACAGAAATCACACACATCTAAATGAACAGGAAAGCGGGGAGGAGAGAACCACAGAGGTGGGTGTCAGCGACAGCTCCTCTACCAGCTGGGATCTCTGGGCCTCAGTTCCTTCAGGAGAAAAACGCTAGTGCCCATTTCAGAGAGTTATCCTGAGAGCTGTATCGATCCGTGGGTATATGGTGTTTGGAACATGTGTAGCACAGATACTAGCTGTTGTTCTGATCGTCTTAGGCTTCCTTGCGATTATGGAGAATGTCCTGGGAACTATTTACAACGGCGCCTTCATTTCTAGTCCCTCATGTGTGCTTTACTTTCATCTTGAAATTTCAGGCAAGGATAAGAGAAGAATGTGGAAGGCAAATCTGTTCCCAACAGAAACAGTCTATAAAATACAAAATTAGAAGCAGAATATAAACTGGAGATTCTACAATGAGGGGGAACTCAGAAAGCTCTCCCTTTTGCAACAACACCTGAATAAGCCCACAAGCATGCAACTATCTAGTGGTCAATAGATACTTTGGCCAATCTATGCTAACAGCTAAATATTTTAGGAAGAAGAGCTAAATCTCCAAATTCCATACACTTTTAACTGGAAGGTGATGACAAGAATGAAATAGAATGACTGTATAAGCCTTTCTAAAATGAGCATTCAAAATTCTTATACTTCTCATGGAAAAAGAACAGACTCAGTAATTGGTCCTCATGTCTAATTACTTACAGAAATAATGGAATTGGATCTACCACTCTAATGAATCTAATGATAATCCCATATAACAAATCAAGTCTGGTTACATAAGGGTATTTTTATTTTTACAACCTCTTCAGAGCATTCTCAAGGGAATTACAATGTTTACAATTTAAATTTCTTCATGGGTGGGTACCTAGTTTGTGTGTCATTTTTGGTATGGGTAAATATAGGTAATTATTTGATAATCTACAAATCTATAGGTCAAATGCACTGGATTTATGTTTTATTATTAAGAACTCTAGTACTAATATAAACCATTTTTCTATGGGTGATTATTTGGTGGTCACCCATATACATGGATGGTCCTTCCCACACTTATTTTCCCAGACTACCTTTTAAAACTATAAATTTAACTTAGGATCCATAATATAAGCAGAGTTCTGTCAAACTCACTACTGTATTTACTCTCTTGGAATTAGCAAGGATGCTGATCACATTATGCTTTTTCATACAGATCCATAAAAGATGGAACATCAGGCATAAAAGCTGGTATTCTTATTTTTTGTTTTGGGAGGGGCTTTTTGGCTGCACCTTGAGGCTTGTGGGATCTTAGTTCCCCAAACAATTAAACCTCAGCCTGGCCTGGCAGTCAACGTGCTAAATCCTAACCACTGGGCCACCAGGGAATCCCAATGGAAATCGTTTTAACTGGTCTGTTCTTAATTTGTTCCTTTATCCCTTTGCTAATAAACCTGAGACAAACATTCTTACTAGAAAGCATACCAGAATCAGAAAACAAATGATCCTGTTCACTCATTTCAGCCTGGTCATCTGTGTTTACTTTCTCTCATTTTCCAGACACCTTAAATTAATAATGAAAAGCGCCAACTTATTGTGAGGACTTAGGATGTTTAAGCCTATCTTTTTTATAAAAAAAGAGGAGCATTAATAAATTACATTTTCAGAAAACCATCATGTCAGTTCCCACATTTACAAAAACTCACAACATGCACAGTAAATATTTCCCCAACCTTCAGTATAAATATCCAACAGTCTTCTCTATAAACCCATCCCCATCTATTTTCATATAATTACTTCCTTACATGTTTCTACTTTTGAATAATCCCATAAACAGATGAGGGAAAGAATACAGGCTCTGGGATCAAAAGACAGGATGCCAACTTTAGCCTCAAGACATACACTAGTAATCTTAAGAAGTCCTAAGATGTTTGTGTTTCAAGAAATTCATCTGAAAGAGTTAATTTATAAAAATCAAACAATGATGTACAAATATTACAGCTGAATCCACTGAAAAACAGGATTACAGAAAAGAATTCTTCCATAGACAGTCCTTCTATAATCATAGAACAATTCCCCTTAGAAAATAGAAAACTTTCCGAGTGCTGTATCACCTCACAATACATTTTTCTACTAAGTTATATGCCAAGCAGTAAATATCTGTCTGGCAAAAGAAAACCATTTAACCAAAATGGTTAAAAGAATCATTCGTCACTAACAAATCAATGAATTCCCTAAAGTGCTTTTAGAAATACATTCTACATTATAAATAGTATTTTTTTTGTAACGTAAAGCCTAAGATTGACTATCACACAAGTACTTGTACTTGCTTAGTGAAATGTGCTATTATAATGTAGTTTTGGAATATCTTCCTAAATAACCTAGGAAAATTCAAATTATGAAAAAAAAATTCAGGTGGTGTAATCTTCAAATTCCTTTTATAAAACTGAAGATTAAGAAAGATTGTACAATAAGAAAAGTATACGTACAGATACATAAAATTTAGTTTTCATTTAAATAATGTGTCATAAGTAACCATGCTTACCAGTGTCATTGGCAGGCTCAGATGTGAGTGGTTTTGGAGCTGGTGTGTTTTTGGGTCTGGCAGCAACCTGAGATGGAGATGGTGTGTTGTCCCCATTAACAACATATGAACAGCATGAGTTTTGTACTACGGTGTTTGCAGGTACATGATTATCTATCCCATTAGTATCTTCAGCAGCCAACCTCAAAAAAAAAGCCAAACAAAAAAGATATCTTACTTCAATGAATTAAAAGCAATCACACAACTTTTCATCAGAAGTTTTGTAAGAATATTTACCAAGTTCTTAACACTGAAGCAAAATGATAAAGAGTAGTGAACAAGAGAAATCTTGATTACTTTTTTAAACATTTTATTTTTTACATTTCACATTTTATTACATACATAAAGTTTAAATTACTTTCAGTTCTAAGTGTATCCACACAGTAAATGCATATTGAGATATATAATCATACTGTCAAAGTAAATTCAGTACCTCAAAGCAATGATCAAATTGTATATTTTAAATATTTAAATCTAAGAATATTAGATTTATTTTTAAAATGTCTGGAAATATTTTCAAAAAGGTCATGAAACTTATAAAAATCAATTCCAAACTGTGAGTACTGAAAAGACCAAAAACATCTTACAATATTGATCATAAGCTATTACCAGCACTAAAATAATGAGTACATGATGATCAGAGAAAGCTAAATATTATATTTCAGAGTTAGAAGACTTTACAGTGTATTCATTACTGCAAATAAATATGTCTACAATTACAAAATCAAATATCTTAAATCTTATTGGCAGGGAGTTAGGCAATATTATGTAAGTAATCAGGAGAACTTTCCCAAATACACTGGTAACCCTGTATGTCTTCTCCACAGAGTGGCCTTAATTTTTTTTTCTTAATTTAAAATAAATAAATAAATCAGAGCACATCTCAGTCCTGCCCCACCTCATCTATCTCTCTGATCTACTTCTCTCCAAGCTGTTCCTTGCCCACCTTGCAGTAGATATATTAGTATATCAATATTATATGAAAAATCATGCCAAAGAGTCTTCAAATGTTTATTACAAACTATTAGATACAGGGAGTAAAGTTATAATGACTTACAAGATTATCAAATAAAGGTTAGATAGACTCTAGAGTTGGAAGAATCTGCAGAGCAAAAGGGCTTCTCCAATGGCTCAGTGGTAAAGAATCTGACTGCAATGCAGGAGATGTAACAGACGTGGTTTTGATCCCTGAGTTGGCAAGATTCCCTGGAGGAGGAAACGGCAACCCACTCCAGTACCATTGTCTGAAAAACCCTACGGGCAGGGGAGTCTGGTGGGCTATAGTTCACAGGGTCGCAAAGGACTGAGCACACACGAGCACGCACATAGAACAAAAACTAACGGGAAAGAATCAGTGTCCTTTTTTACTTGCTATTTCCTCTGCCTGGAATGCTCTTCCCTCAAATCTCTGCATGGACGGCACATTTTTGGCTTTTTAATTGTAGCTTGAATGGCACTTCCACAGAGATGATTCCGCAGCATTTCTCTTTAAAAAGGGATCCTTTACATTCCTGTCATCGATGACCTCATAGTTCTTATCACTATCTCCAATTAGCTAATTTCTTTCCTCATTTGTCTACTATCTACCTCTATCCTGCCAGAATGAAAATTCCACAGGAACAGGACTACTATTCTTAGTGCCTGGACCAGTGCCTGGCACCAAACAGGCACTCAGTAAGTACCTGGACGAATTAACAACACTTTCCCTTGTCACCTATATATTTGGAATGAGATGTGTTCAGGAATTTTGGGCAGGTAAAGCTTTGAAAGGGCTTCCTAGGTGGCACAGGTGGTAGAGAACCTGCCTGCCCATGCAGGAGACGTAAGAGACTTGGGTTCGATCCCTGGGTGGGGAAGATCTCCTGGAAAGAGGGCATGGCAACCCACTCCAGTATTCTTGTCTAGAGAATCCCCATGGACAGATGAGGCTGGCAGGCTACAGTCCATAGGGTCACACAGAGTCAGACATGACTGCGCCAACTTAGCAGGCACACAAAGCTTTGAAATTTCTCTCAAGTGAATCTGATTTGTACACCCTTCCCTAAGCCACTCAGCAAGGATCAGTGACCCGGGAGACAGAGTAAAAGAACGCAACTCAAGTTCTCCTGGTGCTGTAGAACTAAACTTTGATTCAAAATGTATTGCTATGTAATAAATAACATTAGTCTTTAGGTTGGTAGTGATTCAAGCTCCTTTAACCATTTAAAATTTCATTTCAAAAACTATAATTTTTGATACATATATACATATGCACACACACATACACACTAGTGCATTTTAGTCTACCTAATTGCTGTATCCTTTCAGTTTGATTCCCGGGTCGGGAAGACCCGCTGGAGAAGGCATAGGCTACCCACTCCAGTATTCTTGGGCTTCCCTTGTGGCTCAGCTGGTAAAGAATCTGCCTGCAATGTGGGAGACCTGGGTTCGATCCTTGGGTTGGGAAGATCCCCTGGAGAAGGGAAAGGCTACCCACTCCAGTATTCTGGCCTAGAGAATTCCATGGACTGTATAGTCCATGGGATTGCAAAGAGCTGGACATGACTGAATGACTTTCACTTCTCAGTTCTGAATTTTCTCAATGTCAATTATCATGTGAATACTAAATAAATACATTTATTTAAGCCAAATATATATTCAGAAGACATACTGATCTGTTCAAGGGCTCTGTGAAGATCATTTCACAGCAATTTAGTAGCAATATTAGTAACTGTAGATTAACAAAAGTCACACTTTGTCATATACCAGCATGATTTTTCAAATCTATTTCACAGCAATGTACTTTCAAATGTTCACTCGATTATAATTGATCTATTACACGCTTTAATTCTAATTCAAATTATTTCAAACAGAAAGTTTCTATTATCATCAAATGTGAATCTATGGGAGTTGCTGAGATGGTAGGGTGACCTCTAAGGAGACCATAATCAGTGCAATATCTATCTTCTAGCAGTTACAGGAAGCTGCCAACTCAGACAGCACCACATCACCTGACTCTATTTACTGATAAAATGTGCCTAAATACAGATTTTTAAGAGTTATTTCCAATTAAAAAAAAAAAAAACGAATGAAGTTCTGACGCTTCCTACAGCAGGGATGAACCACATGCTAAGCAAAAGTCAGTGACGGAAGGTCATATGTTGTACGACACCGTTTACAAGAAATGCCCAGAAGAGGCAAATCCACTGAGACAGAAGCTGGGTGGCTGGCAGGAGCTGGGAAAAGAGGGGGTGGAGAGAGAGTGCCCCTGGGTACAGTCTTTTTGAGGGTGAAGAGAATGTTCTGAGACACTGGGGATGGTTACCCAACTCTGCTAACCTAAAAACCACTGAGATGTACACTTTACTCCAATAATATATCTGTTACAGCTGTTTTTTTTAAAAAAAACACTTTGATAAGAATTCAACCAAATAATATGTTTAGATATAAGCTTTTAAAGTCTATGGCAAACTCTAAACTAAGGTTAAAAACTTCACGTATGGGAAATGTGGTGTTACTTTGCCACAAACACCAAAATAAAACACTCTACCTGGCGGCTGTCCTTGCTGAAGCTTCTCTGTCTTCACGTAAGGCATCACCATTTTGCTGTACTTCTACTGAATGACAAAAAAAAAAGACACTATGTTTTTTACATACTTCTTGATTTTTTTTTTTCCTTCAAATTTTAAAAACCCAAAGTTAGCTTACTGGCTGGAGATGAGCTGCCGTTTGTTATACTTTCTTGCTCAATCACCAGTCCATCAAGCACAACTGTTAATTCACCAGTTTGCACGACACCATTCTTGGTTTCCAAGGAAAGTTTTAATTGTTCTTTCACTTTTTCCACTAAGAGGGGGGGAAAAGAAAAACTAATTTAAAAGCTTTTGTTATGTACAAAAATATGTTTCAGAAATCAAAGCTACATATCAAGAATGACTCTAATTTAGTGCTGGATGGCTGCGTGTGAAAGGAATTACTTGTGTTTTTATCTGTAGGCCCTTCCATACCACACCAGGATCACTTCCTGTCAGTTACTAGATGAGTAACTCCTTTCCTTTCACCACATACTTTCAGAATCATCTCTAATTGTCCCTTTGCACAGTATAACGTTCAGAGAAAATACAAACATATCTAGATAACAAGTGCAATAATGTCCCAAACATGCTCTATGGCTCATAGTACAAGGTAAGACTTGTGGTTAAGGCAAACTTTCTGCAGGAGACTCAAGAGGGTTCCTTATTCCAGTTCAGGGACTTCTAGCTGTACTTTCAAGTAGTCAAATTACTCAAAGCCTCAGTTTCCTCATCACAAATGGAGATCATAAAAGCATCAAACTAGGAACTGTCATAAGGTCCAAATGCAAAGTCACAGAGAAAACTCCTAGCACCACGTCTGACACACAGTACATGCTTAATAAATGGCAATAGTTAACTATTTATTTTTCATATAAGGCCAAATATTGATTCTTATCAGGATATCTAATTATTACTAAATGCAGTTCCTTTGCTTTAACTTCTATCTCACAGAATATGTATCAAAAGTATTAGTGGTTCCTTTATTATGCAAAACAAGTCCAGGTACTTCAATCTGATCTTCATTTTTAAAATCTAAACATTTTTTTTTAGATTATATCCTTGATTTTGGTTCCTCCTTTATTTAACAAGATTTTTTTTGCCATTTACCAAATATCTAGCACAAATACTTTAATTATCCAAGATAAGACAAACAAAAATCTGGAACCACTAATCATTACACAGGAATTCTTTGCAAAAAAATTAAGGACCATGTAATAAAGAAAGCCTTGTAGAAGACCTATCCCAACCATTTTCACCCCCGTAAACCATATTTCCATTTCAAACCACAAAATCAACATTAATAAAACAGAAAAACTGGAGGAAATATGAAAGCACCAAGGAAAAAACCCAAACCTGCAAAAGCATGAATTTCAGTTGTATCTAGATTCTAACAAACTATATCTAAGGAAAACTATTGACCACCATCCTATTTCATTCACCTGCAATTTGGAGGCTTAGCTCTCATTCCTAAAATATTTAGCTAAGTAGATTCTTAATAGCCTTTCACTCCATAATGGCCTATGTGTGAAAAGAATCTAGGAAAGAGTGGACAGATGTATACTTATTCAGTTGGCTATACACCTGAAACTAACAGCACTGTAAATCAACGATTCTTCAGTAACATCTTTTTTTTTTTAAAGCTTTCCGAAATCCCTTTAAAATGAGTCTCTTGATGGAAAATACTCTTTTAAAAAAAATTTACTTATTTTTTTATTGAAGGATAGTTGCTTTACAGAATTTTGTTGTTTTCTGTCAAACCTCAGCATGAATCAGCCATAGGTACACATATACCCCCTCCCTCTTGAACCTCCTGCCATCTCCCTCCCCACCCCACCCCTCCAAGCTGATACAGAGCCCCTGTTTGAGGTTCCTAAGCCACACAGCAAATTCCCTTGGCTGTCTATTTTACATATGGTAATGCAAGTTTCCATGTTACTCTTTCCATACATCTCACCCTCTCCTCCCCTCTCCCCATGTCCATAAGTCTATTCTCTGTCTGTTTCTCCACTGCTGCCCTGTAAGTAAATTCTTCAGTATCATTTCTCTAGATTCTGTATATAGGCATTAGAATAGGATATTTATCTTTCTCTTTCTGACTTACTTCACTCTGTATAATAGATTCTAGGTTCATTCACCTCATTAGAACGGACTCAAATGCATGCCTTTTTATGGTTGAATAATATCCATTGTGTATATGTAACACACTTCTTTATCCATTCATCTGTTGATGGACACCTAGGTTGCTTCCATGTTCCAGCTGTTGTAAATAGTGCTGCAATGAACAATGGGATACATGTGTCTCTTTCCATTTTGGTTTCCTGAGGGTATATGCCTAGGAGTAGGATTGCTGGGTCATTCAGTGATTTTATTCGTATTTTCAAGAAAGCTCCATACTGTCTTCCATAACTGGCTATATCAATTTACATTCCCACCAACAATGTAAGAGTGTTCCCTTTTCTCCACACCCTCTCCAACATTTATTGTTTGTAGACTTTTTGATGGTAGTTATTCTGACCAGTGTGAGGTGATAATTCATTGTAGTTTTGATTTGCATTTCTCTAATAATGAGCGATGCTGAGCATCTTTTCCCATGTTTGTTAGCCATCTGCATGTCTTCTTCGGAGAAATGTCTGTTTAGGTCTTTTCCCCACTTTTTGACAGGGCTGATTGTTTTTCTGGAACTGAGCTGTATGAGCTGCTTGTATATTGTGGAAATTAACCCTGTCAGTTGTTTCACTGGCTATTATTTTCTCCCATTCTGAGGGTTGTCTTTTCACCTTAGTTTCCTTTGCTGTGCAAAAGCTTCTAAGTTTAATTAGGCCCCACTTGTTTACTTTTGTTTCTATTTCCGTTACTCTAGGAGGTGGGTCAGAAAGGATCTTGCTTTGATTTACGTCACCGAGTGTTCTGCCTATGTTTTCCTCTAAGAATTTTATAGTTTCTGGTCTACATATAGGTCTTTAATCCATTCTCAGTTTACCTTTGTCTATGGTGTTAGGAAGTACTCTAATTTCATTCTTTTACATGTAGCTGTCCAGTTTTCCCAGCACCATTTATTGAAGAGACTATCTTTGCCCCATTATATACCCTTTCCTCCTGTGTCAAAAATAAGGAACCCCATAGGGTTTATTGGGTTTATTTCTGGGCTCTTTCTCTTGTTCCATTGGTCTGTATTTCCGTTCTGTGCCAGTACCATACTGTCTTGATGACTGTAGCTTTGTCATATAGTCTGAAGTCAGGAACGCTGATTCCTCCAGCTCCATTCTTCTTTCTCAAGACTGCTTTGGCTATTCTGGGTCTTATTGTGTTTCCATATGAATTGTGAAATTTTTTGTACTAGTTCTGAGGAAAATGCCATTGGTAATTTGATAGAGATCGCATCAAATCGGTAGATTGCATTTGGTAGTACAGTCACTTTCACAGTATTGATTCTTCCTACCTAGTTCAGTTCAGTCACTCAATCGTGTCCAACTCTTTGCGACCCCATGAATCGCAGCACACTAGGCCTCCCTGTCTATCACCAACTCCCGGAGTTTACTCAAACTCATGTCTATTGAGTTGGTGATGCCATCCAACCGTCTCATCCACTTCAGCATTCTTGCGGTGAGAACCCCATGGACAGTATCCCACCATACATGTACCACATCTTCTGTATCCATCAGTTTGTCTGCTGACGGACACTGAGGTGGTTTCCATACCTGACTACTGTAGAGAGAGCTGCAGTGAACACGGGTGTGTATCAGTTCAGTCGCTCAGTCACGTCCAACTGTGCGACTCTTTCAGACTCTTTGAACTGAACCTAACTCAACTATTCAGACACTAAAAAAGAATGAAATCCTGCCATCTGTGACAACATGGATGGGCCTAGAGGATATTATGCTAAGTGAAAGAAGTCAGACAAAGACAAATACCATATGATTTCATTTATATATGGAATCTAAAAAACAAAACAAATGAGCAAATTTAACAAAACAGGAACAAACTCATAGAGAACAAACAGGTAGCTACCAGAAGGGAGAGGGGTGGGGGTGACTAAAAAAAAAAGAATGGTAATTAGCCTGCTTGTGGCGATCACTTCACAATGAATGTTTATATGAAACCATCACACTGTACACCTTAAATATATGCAATTTTTGTTAATTCCTAATAAAGCCGGTAAGTTTTTTAATTACATAAAACAAAAACAATCTTATGCAAAATTGGAAGACAATGTATCCTATGAGGAGGGTAATCTTTATAAATTCAGGTCAAGCATAAAAATCTATCTTGGCGTATGGGCTTTTTGTTTTACTCTGGTAAAACACACCTAACAAATTTTACCATCTTATCATTTTTAAGTCTACAATTCAGTGGTATTAAATACACTCATAATGTTGTACAGCCATCACTGCCATCCACCTCCAGAGCTCTTCATTTTGTAAAACTGAAACTTCAGACCCATTAAACAGTAACTCTCCATTGCCTCCTCTCTTCAGCCCTTGGCAACCACCACTGTGCTTTCACTGTATAATTGTGACTACTTGAAGGACTTTACCTAAGTGCAATCAGATAGCGTTTGTGTATTAGGGACTGGCTTAGTTCACTTACAGACAGACTTGTAATAAACTAAAGGTGGTTATAATTAAAACAGGTTTTCCTTTTAAAAGTAACTTGTAGTTCAGATGGCTCTACAATGGCACTGACTAATATAATCACACTAGTCAGTAAAGTGGCTNATCACAGCTTCAATTTCAGTGCTTGTAATTGGGTTGTTCATAATTTCTATTTCTTACTGGTTCAGTCTTGGAAGATTGAACTTTTCTAAGAATCTGTCCATTTCTTTCAGTTTATCTATTTAATTGCCATATAGCTGTTCATAATAGTTTCTTAAAATCCTTTTTATTTCTAAATTGTCTAGTGTAACCTCTCCTTTTTCATTTCTAATTTTGTTGATTTTATTCTTTTCTCCTTTTTTCTTGATGAGTCTGGCTAAAGGTTTGTGACTTTTGTTTATCTTCTCAAAGAACCAGCTTTAACTTTTATTAATGTTTATTATTGTTTCTTTCATTACTTTTTCATTTATTTCTGCTCGGATCTTTATGATTTATTTCCAGCTAATTCTGGGGTTTTATTGTTTTCCTTTTTCTAGTTACTTCAAGTGTAAAGTTAAGTTGTTTATTTGATATTTTTCTTGTTTCTTGAGGTAGGATTGTATTGCCATATACTTCCATTTTAGAACTGCTTTTGCTGCATCCATAGGTTTTGAGTTGTCGTGTTTTCATTGTTTTGTTT